CTTTGTGAGGCCCAGCTCTGACCCTTGAGGCCCTTTCAACTGGGCTGTCCCTCCCCCTCCCACCCCCCAGCCCCCCAGAGATGGCCAGCCTCCATTTCCTGTCTCCCTTGGCCCCTTGCCTTGGGTGCGGGCTAGGAGAGCAAGCCTCTGCCTGACTCCCCTCCCTTCGTGCTCCCAGAGCACTGCCCGGAGTTGCCTGTGAAGGCGTGGGCTCCCTGGGAGCGGATCCCTGCCTTTCTACGTGGTATCTGACCTTGGGACACTTCTGAACTTCTCTAAGCCTCACGTTGCGAATCTTGACACTACCTGCCAGGGCGATGGCTGATGGGAGAGTTAAATGAAACCCTCTGCAAGTTACAGCACTCCATTTACGTGGCATGCTATGGGTGAGCCCCTAATGGCCAAGAACCTGCCGCTCTGAACCCTCAAATACCCTGTCTGGCTTCTACTCCCCTCCACCTCCCTCCAGACCTCCTAACTACTTACCCAGCTGGGCCCTGAGAGTCAAGAGGCCTAATATCACATAAGAGCATGGATTTTAACATCACCTCTACCCGGCTTCCGACCTGGGATCCGCTCCTCTCTGACTTTCACCAAATCTTATTTGAAAAATGGGGATAAGGAGACTCACCTTACAGGTTTATTGGGACTAGGATAAAATAAGACAACCTGTGGACAGCCTTTGCCCAATACCAGGTTCCGAGAAGCTTAGCAGATAACAGAGTAACAGTAGGTAATGATATTTATTTTCACTAGTCCAGCTGGCCATGAACTTGCTGAGGCCTGGCGTATGGTTGACATATTTCCCTAGTTCCTGGCACTGATACTGATTCCTCTATTTTAAATTTTATTGCTCATTTCTAGAGGACATTGGAAAGAGGGTATTAACAGACTATGTCCTTAACGTCATCTGGCCCAGAAGTTTTCCTTTGTGTGTTTTAGGCTGATTTCCGTGGTATGTGGAAATAAATTGATTTCCAAGCACTTAAGTCAATCCAGCCAATTCATGGAGTAATTCGAGTGTTCCTTCTAAGGATTTTCTAAGAAAGCAATGGACCCTTCTACGATTAGCAGTATTTTGTCACCTTCACAATACCTCTTCGTTTATGTTTCGTTGCATAAATCACACCAAGGAAAACTAATAGTGACAAGCATCGCCTCTTTACCTCATTCCTGGTTTAACAAGGAATGCCTCTCTCCTCTCTCCTATATGCATGCATGAACTACTTGTGTGAGGTAAAAGTTGCTATCTTGTTAAGGAAATATCCCTTTATTTTCTTTATTTCTACCTCTTAGGGTTTGTTGTTGTTTTGGGTCTAGGAGGGCTGTTTAATTTCACCAAATAATAGTTTCGGTGTTTGTTGAAACGATATGGTCATTTGAGTTTTGTTTCTTTGACCTTATGACAGACACGATGGCTAGAGATTTTTCTGGAACTCCGCTTAGGAATGAATAACGATTTAATTTGTGTGTTCAGATTAGTGGCTAAAGGATGCATTAGAAGGACCCTTCATGCACAAGAAGGAGCATTAGGATATTTAGATGCCCATTTGGGAACGTACTTAAGTTTGAATTTTTCTTCGCAACCACATTAAAATTCTAAATGGGTCAGAGATTATACTTTTAAAAAAAGCTTTAGACTAGTTGGCAAAAAATATCGGAAAATATTTTTATAGTCTTGATGTGAGGAATCACAACCAAGTTGTAAACTCTAGAAGCTGTAAAAGAAAATACGGAGAAATTTGGTCACCTAATTATCTAAAATTTCTGTATGATGAAAGACACCACAGAGAAAGTTAAAGACGTTGGAAGAATGGAAAGAAACACTGCCAACATATGGAAGAGGCATTGGATTAATAATCAAAATATGTAAAAAGGGAAAATAGAAAAAAATATTTGACTAGGCAAATACTAAATAGCATGTAAATGAAAACAAGGTTAACATTTTTCATCGTCAAACTGTCCACATTTTAAAAGTTAAGTATCCAGGGTTGCGAAATATGCATGTCTCGCTGCTAGATCCAAGACTTCAGCCAGCCCCACTTCACAAGTATTATATGTCAATGGCGCCTCCTGCAGCCCAACTGCATTAACTACAGGGAACATTAGTTACATTAACTACAACGGAGATGAGCGCCCCTTGGAGACATGCTCTCAGTGCCTGCCTCCTCCCGCGGGGCTTAGTGACAGTTTTTGGCATAACCAGCAAAATGTAACGGGCCCTCAAACTCCATGATTTCTTTTCCAGGAATCTAGCCTTTCAGAAACATATGAGTATGTAATGTGGGCATAAAGATACATGCAAAAGAATGTTCATTGAAGCCTGCTTTATATTGGGGAAAAAAGGAAAGAAAGTACATGTCCATCAATAGAGGACTATCTGCACAAATAAGGGGGCATCCATTCGTGAGATATTTTGCAACTCTTCAAACAAATGAAGTGGATTTCTGTGTCCTAACAGAACGATCTTCAAGATTTAATGTTCTGACTGAGGTAAACACGAATGTGAAAGCAACCTCGCCCCCCAATATCAATTATTCAATCCCGGGGCGCCTGGGTGGCTTAGTCGGTTAAGCGTCTGACTTTCTCTTAGGTCATGATCTCGCGGTTCGTGGGTTCGAGCCCCGCGTTGGGCTCTGTGCTGACTGCCAGTTCAGAGCCTGGAGCCTGTTTCAGTCCGTGAATCCCTCTCTCTCTGACCCTCCCCTGCTCACGCTGTCTCTCTCTCTCTCCTAGAAATAAATAAAACATTTAAAAAAAATTATTCAATCCCATGTATGCACGTTTGTGTCTGATAATGCATGCACGAGGAAGTGGAAGAGTCCACAATGGCTGACAGATCTGGACTGGAACGGCTGCACCAGGGAAGGCGGTGACAGGGAGGGCGATCGGGTTTACTCTACACACTCTAGTAGTTTGTGACTCTACCACTAGTACACGTGTTGTTTTCTCTGCAGGTTCAAAATAGGAAGTAGCCCACTTGGTCCGAGCTCTTGAGAATCCCTGTGGCTTTGGCTGTTCTTTGACACCTTCCCACCTGGCTAAACTGCTGAGGAATGTCCTACGGAGTGTGAGATACAGTTGGCATTCTGAAATGGATTTTTCTGAGCCGGCTCCTCTGGGCATCCTAATCCCCATGATAGCTTTTTAGAAAATCTTAGATCCTAAGTCTCTGTGCAAGATCTGCTGACTCAGAACAGGAATTTCTGTGCCTGTGGCTATTACCTGGGGGAGGAAGTGACGAGGGAGGGTCTGGGAACGGGAAGACACAGGAGCAGCCTGGATGTGCAAGGGTGCCAGTGATCCTGCCCCCCCCCCCCCCCAGTGGGGACGCCTGATGGATCAAGGTGTGTTCCTGGGCAGGCCCGGCCCTCAAAGCTCTGCAGAGCAGATGATAGGGCTACAGCCTTCATTTCTTGTTTTCACTGGACGTTACCTTTTCTGGCACTTTTTGGGTGGGTGACTATTGTGCGGGCAGGTGCAGATTTGAAGTTCACCGAAAAACTCACCCACCTCTTATTCTGGGTTTGCTCAGATGGAGAAAGAAAACCCGGCTTTCGGGGGCAGTGTGAAAGTAGATCTTTATTTAAGGATAAATACATAAACCCTGGCCTGCGGAGGCGGTAGAAGTAGATTCAAATCCTGAGTCCGCATTTATCAGCCACGTGACTACCGGCAAGGTTCTTAACCTCTCTGAGCCTCGATGTCCTGATCTGCAGAATGGATGTAACGATATGCTCCCCCCGGAGTGGCAGTGAAGATCAGAGAATCGATTGAAGCTGAGCTGTGGGTTATTAATATTAGGGCGATTCCTAGACCATGGACTCCTGGAGGCAGACATATATGATGCTGAGAATTTTCTCTCACCTCCCTTGTCCAGAGCTTACCTAACACTTACCTAGTACAGACCTGAAGTATCTGCCAAACACCCGTTGAGTTTGATTCTATGAGAGGCTCTGCGTCTTTCCTTGCCTTCAAGCCACTTCCCAAGTCTGTACGTTGTAGAGGGCGATGCAAACTAAGTGTGGTCTACATACTGGCAAATCATTCCGGTGACAGCGTTCGACTCTCCCTCTCCGCGCGGGAGAAGCCGGTCTCGTGTCCACTTGTACCTTCTTGCCAGGGTCCCAGGCCCGTGTCTGTTCTCGGACTGGGTGTCACCTCTTACTCGTTCCCTCCTTAATAGTGAGTGAAATAAAATCTGCAGCACACGCTCACTTTGTATCTGTATGAAACTCACGATTTTACCTTTTTCTGAAAAGTACCTGTTAACATCGCTGCTGCCTGTCAGCAGAACGGGAAGTGCCTACGAAAGGCAGACGCCACCACTGAGGCTCTCTCAGGGCCCCTTGTCCGCTCTAATTAATTACTTATTCGTAGGTGGACTGACGAAAGCTTCCGCCCTCGGTGCGTTCGGGGTCCGGGTCCTGCGCGGAGCTGTGGGTGACACCGAGGAAGGCGCGGCCCCTACGCTTCGGTCTGCGGGTCTGTGAGATGGGTTCCGACGAGTAGCCGCGGCGGGGCGCGGTGGTCCCGGGGGTGGGGGGTGGGAGCGGGGGTGGGGGGTGCAGTCCCCGCCCCTCCCGCTGTCCCGCGCCCGGGGCGCCCCCGGGAGCCTCAGGGACGGTGGGGGGGCGGCGGCCCCCGGCTGGGGAAGGGCCCGGGCTGGCACGGCGCCCCTCCGCCCGCGCGGGGTCCCCGGCGGGGGCGGGTCGCGCGAGCCCGAGAGCCCGGAGCCGCCCAGGAATCTTGGCTCGGGCCGCGAGCATTTCCTGCGGGCGGGCCCCGGGGGCGCGGCGGCGGGCAGACTGCGCGCTGCGCTCGGCCGGCCGGCGGCATGCGGCCCCTGCTCTGCGCGCTGGCCGGGCTCGCCCTGCTCCGCGCCGCCGGTGAGTGGGGCCGGGCCCGCGTGGAACCGAGGGGGAGGGAGAGCGGAGGGATGGAGAAAGGGGCGACCGCCCGGGGACGGGGGTGGGAAAGACGTGAGAGCGACCGAAAGAGGAAGGCGGGAGAGAGACCCGACGCCCCCAGGACAGAGAGGAGCCGGGCATCGCAGGGGAGGGGGAGGGCAAGTCTGCAGAGTGAGCACACATCCTCCCCAGTACCCCCCCCCACCCTTACCCCCTCCACCGAGGACCTGTGGAAGGCGTCTGGGCCTGGGTTTACGGGCAGGGCACTCCCTGGGAAGCTGAGTTCCGGCGGACAATGACCCAGGCCTGGCCCGGCAGAACCAGCGCGCGGGCAGGCGGCCCCAGGAGAAAGGCCACTGCTTCACCTGCCGAGATCTTCCCGTGAGCCGCCTTGGGCCGGGGTTTTGGGGAGGGGGGGGCGGGAGGGAGAGGCCCTCTGGCTGGGCGCAGGCTGGGGTCCTTGCCTTGCACTGCCCCCTCTACCTTCCCCGGGGAGAGTCAAGCAGGGGGTACACCCAGATGCTCTCTCTTCCACCCCCAGATTCTGCACGCTCTATGTACTTCCCTCCCATGTACCCCTGTCTCCCCAGTCCCCAGCCAGAGGGAGCTGGCGCCCATCCCAGCAGTGCAGGTGAGGGGAAGGCTCAGGCCTCACAGTGGTGCCCCCCAGAGGCCCCACGAAGCACCCAAGCCTGCTACCCCCTGTAGGCAGGCCCTTGCCCCCATCAGACTGCTTGCCCATCAGCCGGGAGCCAGTGGACATGAATCACATAGGCTAAGCGCCCTGAACTAGGAAGGAAGCCTCCCAGGCCAGTGCCTTTCAGGGCACAGCCAACTGTGGGTGGGAGCACCCAGGGGCAGGGTGGAGGCCGTGCTGGTCCTGGGCAGCCCCTGGCTGAGAAGGCTGAGTAAGTTGCCTTACCTCTGTGAGCCTGCTTCCTCCTGTGTAAGTTGGGGCAACTGATACCCTCCCTGCCAAGCTGACTGCAGAGACTGAATGAAAGGAGAAGTGCCCAGCATGGAATGCAACACACAGGGGCTCCCTCTCTCATCCCCTCAGCTCCATTGATCTTTCTGAGCCTCAGTTTCCCCACCTACTAATTAAGGAGGACCCACAATGCCTCCTCATGGGCTGTGTGCGAAGTGGCTGGGACTGTGTTCAGCACAGAGATTGTAGAGCCAAGCCCACGGGGCATGGCCTTCTTTCCCCCTTCCTCCCACCCCCCCATCCCCCCTGCCCGCAGGAGCTGAGGGCACAAAGCTGAGTCTGTGCTTCCCCAGAAGAAGGAGCTGGCCACCACCCACAAGTGGCTAACTTTATTGTGGCCCCGGTAGTCATGACCAGTATATGTGCTTAATTTAAAACCATTTTTAAACATTCCTTCTGATTATGCGTGCTCATTGCTATGGATCTTTTAAAAAGGGGGAAAGTATAAATGTCTGAATGTAATCTCACATCGAGTTCACACAGTTTTGTGTATAATCTTTAAGACTTCAGACAATTTACCGCTGTTTTTCTTGTCGTTTGACGATGAAATCTCTTGGGTGTGAAGGCAGAGCAGCATGGTGAAGCCCCAGGTTCCTGCCAGGCTGATTCGGCGAGTATCGATTCGTGGCCTGTCTTGCTTCCTCGATCACCCCATATTCTGTCCCCTCCCTCCAATAATTTTTAAGGAAACGCCAGGCACCATATATTTTCATCCATAATATTTCCTTAAGTATCTCTAAAAGATAAGTAATCTTTTTATTTTTCTCTTAAGTTTCACTTATTTAAATAATCTGTATACCCAGTGTGGGGCTTGAACTCACGACCCTAAGATCAAGAGTCATATGTACTCCATGGGGTGCATGGGTGGCTCAGTCGGTTAAGCAGCTAACTTCAGCTCAGGTCATGATCCTATGTTCTGTGAGTTCGAGCCCCGCATCAGGCTCTGTGCTGACAACTCAGAGCCTGGAGCCTGCTTTGGATTCTGTGTCTCCCTCTCTCTCTGCCCCTCCCCTGCTTGTGCTCTGTCTCTGTCTCTCCTTCAAAAATAAATAAATAAACATTTAAAAAATTTCTTTAAAGTCATATGCACTCCTAACTGAGCCAGCCAGGTGCTCCAAAGATAAGTAATATTTTAATAAATATAACTGCAATACCATTATCATACCCTAAAAAGGGATGAAAATTTCTTAATATATATTGTCAAATATCCACATCCCCCATCGTGTCATGTTATTCCATTTGGTTCTGTTTTATCCATATAAGGTGCACAGGTTGCTTTTGGCTGACATGTCAGTTACGTTTCCTTTAATATGTAAGTTCTCCGTCCCCCCCCCCTTTTCCTTAAGATGTATTTGTGGAAACAGCTGGGTTGTTTTGTCCTACAAAGTTTTTCCACATTTAGATTTTGGCTGATTGCATCCGCTGGGAGTCATTTAAATGTTCTTCTCTCGCCTGTATTATCTATAAACTGGTAGATCTGGAAACATTTGCGGTTCTGCAAGAAGATGTTAAGATGGTTTGTTGTTTTAATTTGCATTTCTTTGGTTATACTGAGGTTGAACTTTTTCTTTAAATGCATATTGGTCATTTCTACTAATTCTTGTGAATTGTCTCAGGTTTTCAATTGTGGTACTGCGATTTCTCATACTGACCTGCAAAAGCAAACTGCTTCGGATACTTATAAGAGCCCTTCTTAAAAGTTAAGGTTTCTGCTGAGTTCCTTTCCTGTTTTCCCATCAGAGAGATCTACACTCCAAGAGCCTGGTTCTTTTACCAATTGTCACCCATGCCTTGGGGCCCTTTGGGCATGCTCTCATTGTCCTCTTGTGTTCTAGGTCCCCGTGGATGTCTGTCTTCCACTGGGTTCTGCTTTCTGCTTCAAGTGAAAGAGGAAGATGCTGAAGGGCTGAGGGTCATGGCATTTCTTCCTATAAAAATGGGTATCATGGGAGTGAACCACTAAGACGATTCAATCCCAGGCACACATTTGGGCTCTTATGGGGCCTCAGACAGCTGCAAAGTTCATGGAAACAAACCCCCCTTGCCTCATACCTGTCCAGCCCCTCATTTTGTAACTATGTCCAAGCGTATTTGCTTGCCAAACGATAGGCGAGTTGAGAGTTGGGCTAGGAAAGCGACTTTATTTGGAAAGCCAGCAACCCGGGGCAATGGTGAACTGTTGTCCCAAAGAACCACCTCTCAGAGCATGAGAGTCAAGCTTGTTCTGTCTTAGGAAGAAGGGCAACAGGGAGAAGGTTTGAGTCAGAAGGTGACTGTTATCTGTAGATGTTGAAAACAGTTGCGAAACTTCTTTGCCCTTGGTCCGTTGATCTTTGCATGTAGAAATCTGGCCGTGTCGTTCCTGTAACTCTTAAATGTAGCGGAGTCATTTTCTGTATTTCTTCGAATGGGGTAGGTTTCAGGTCAGAAAGCAGTTTTTGCAAATCTCAGTTGTACGCAAAATTCCTCCATGGTTAACATGCCTGTGTGCAAAGCTAAGCAAACATTTCTAAGCTATAGGTTAGGCAAGGGACATAAAAGCAATATGGAGTCAGACATGCTAAGTTTCTTCCCGTTACCTTTCACAGAGGAGGCAGCTATGACCTTGAGATGGGAGGCCCTGAACTTACACAAGGTCACATGACTGCCCGTGCAGTCTAGACCGTGTCGGGCAGATAGGATTCAAATCCTCTCCCTACCACCTACCAACTATGTAATCTTGGGCATGTTACCCAATCTCTTTGATCTTCAGTTTTCTAATTTGTAAAAACGTGACGTAAGAGTACTGAGCTCATCATAGAGCCAAATGAGATACGGAAGCACCCAACACAGAGCTTAGCACATAATGAGTGATCACTAACTGATAGGAGCTTCACATACGGAACATGGCTGTGCCCATTGAAAAGGTGAAGAAACCAAGAATCCAGTGAGTGGGACTGGCTTGCTGAAGAGCCAGAGAGCCAGTCAGCCCCCAGCCCTTTGTGTCCTTGTTGAAGAAGCCCCTCCCCGGCATCCCATGCACCCCTACCTAAGTGTATTCCCAGAGCAGATGCCTCTCCTTCCTGAGAACCGGTCTATGGATCCAGCAGAGCCCTGGCTCCGTGTGGAGAGGCAGAGCCCCGGGGAAGCTTTCTCTGGTAGATGCCCTCCATGCCATTTGTACATCGCTTGGCAGTTCCAAGGGCAGGAGTCCCTTTAATCAACACACCAGTCCTGCCAAGTAGACCTGGCAGCGCCCCTCCCTCCCGGTCTGAGAGAGAGGCAAAGAGCATCATCAGGAAGTCTCAGAGGTGGGGCTGCGTCTCTGACTCCCAGCCCTGTATGCTTTTCACGGTGCACGGAGAGAGGTTTATTCTGAATGGCTTCTTACACCTTCTCCATCTTGGGGGATTTTGGAATGTTCTAGTACACTATAACCCCGCAGACTAAAAAGCCTGGTATTCCAAGATAGAAGGGATCAGGGTTCCCTGATAGCCCTGACCACCAGCCGGCCTACCTCTGAACTCACACATGAGAAAATGAATAAATACATGTGAAGTTGAGGGGGAATGGGGGCCTTTGTTCTAGTAGCTTGGCTTACCTACTGCAGCCAGATACTGGATGTACTGGAAATGACGTTGATGTGTTCTCAGAGTGATCAGCAAGGCTCAGATCCCCATTTGGAACAAAGACCAGAGATGAAGGGAGATAGGAGGGCATGTCCCTCCCAAACACATGCCTCAGAATCTGAGCTCTTTCTTGCGGGGCTCAAGGGTCTCTCTCCTGGTTCAGCCAGAGCAGTCCCACATACTGGAATTCTTCATTTCATTGTTTGAAAAGAGTATTCTCCTGCTTAAAACACTTTTTTTCAACCACTGGTGGTTTTAAATGAATCACAAATTTTAATACGAATATTAAATGTGGTCAATTTTATTATTCTGTTATGTGGCATGTGGGCAAATATAATTAACCTCTAACTGATGGACATTGCTGGTCAAAGTGGAGTGTGTCTTTGACAAATCAGAAGGCGCAGCAATCTTTGGGGTCTCCTCTGAGAAATTACGTGTCATACCAGAAATCCTTCGAGTTGTGCATGCTTTCATGGTGTTTGAGTCTCAGACACGAAAGGTCCCCTATGCCTGTAAGTGGGAGGGGCCATACTTCCTGCCTCAGAGGATGGGGACCCAGTGGCCATGTCTCTTTAACTGGAGAAGTTAGCTCAGCATCTCTGCTGGGCCTCCAGCCTCCACCACAGCCTGCTCTCACCAGCTCGCTGGGTTCCACCCATGGCCGCCATCCAAGGTGCTCAGAGGCCCTGAGTGGGAGCCAGGCCAGGGAAAACAGCCCTGCATCCAAGAAGGTCCATTTCCCAACTGGTCGGCGCGGGGAGGGTGGGAGCAGAGAAAGGAAGGGAACGTGGGGACCCCCAGCCTTGGCTTGGCGAGCACGCTTCTGGTAACCCTTCAGCCTTCCCCACTCTGGAGTGTCCCCACAGCCCCATGAGGCAGGCATTATCCTGAGCCCCTTTCTACTGCCGGGGAAGCTCAGAGACACGGAAGACACCCAGCTTTTGTCTTGCTGGAGCTTCTGATCCAAGAAGCAATTTGTCCTTTACCCACAACGGTTCTGCCCTGGTAGCTCATTTTGGAGGCCTCTGAGCAGGCTCTGAGATTTGTCTTCAGCATCCCCAAGGAGCCACACGGGGGTGGCGGTGGGTCAGGCCTTCCCACCCCGAGGTAGCAAAGGAGGCTGCAGAGGCTCAGGGAGGAGAGGTAAGCTTCCCACAGGCCCACACCAATCGGTGGCTGGGGGCCGTGAGAATGGGGGTCCCCAGCGTGTTGGGGGCCCTCGTGCAGCGAGGTCAGGGCTGAGTGAGGGGCCCACACGGCAGGGAGGGGGCAGCTGCGTAGGCCCCGAGGCAGCTTTCTGTCTCAGATGGGCTCGCAGGGAGGGCGGGATGAGCTCCCGGCCAGCCGTGCTTCGGAGCCCGGGACGCAGCCCTGTCCAGATGCGAGGGATTAGTGCCGGGTGGTGTGGAAAGCAGCTCCAGCCTGTCCTTTTCCCCAGAGGGCTGCTGAGGCCAAGTCAGACCTCATCGCAGATTCGTCCAAAACAGGATGTTTCAGGCCAGCCGAGGGGAGTAGGTTCGTGGTGTTCACGGCCTACGGGACGGGCAGATCCCCACACTTGGCCAGCCGGGTCCGACTGCTTCCCCGGGGCCCACGCTGGGTCTGGGAGAGGGCAGGCGAGGCTCTGGGAGAGACTTGGCCAGAGGCCCATGGGCAGAGCCTATGGAGGAAGTGGGAGGATGCAGACCTGGTCACGGATAGTCCTTCCTGTGGGGAAAAGCAGCTCTTCTTGGCCCCCAGGAAGCCCTTCCTCCCTAGAGTGAGCTCCCCAGTTCTTTCAGCTGAGACAGATGAGTCTAACTTTCGAGTCCCTTCAGCGTGGCCGCCTCTAGACCTGCTTCTGCCTATCAAGGACCCAGAACGGAGCACAACCACCTGGGGGAGGGGGGGTCCCTCAGACAACCCCCTCCCTCGTCCCGAACCTTTCCCATCTGTGCACGTGGCCCCACGATGGCTTCTGCCTTTGGGTAACAACCCTAGCAGACGACTGGCTTTTATTATGGAAAATTTCAAACCATATATACAAGAGTAGAGAGCTTAGTGGGATGAACTCCAATGTCCCCATCACACAATTTCAACAATTATCAATTTCGGCCAGTCTTGTTTGGCCACCCGTGTCCCCCCGCCCACTCCGAGGCCTGGATTACTTTGAAGTGAATCCAAGACATCATAGCATTTCATCTCTAAATATTTCAGTATGGATCTTGAAAAGACTCCCCTTTAAAAGACATTACCAGTCCTCACTTCAGCCGCACATATACTAGAAAAAAATAACCAAAGTACCATGGTAATGTCTCCCCCCGTCCCCTAAGTCAACAAGACCATTGTCTGTTCTTAAATTTTTGTTTAATGTTTATTTATTTTTGAGAGACAGAGACAGAGCACAAGCAGGGGAGGGGCAGAGAGAGAGGGAGTTACAGAATCCGAAGCAGGCTCCAGCCTCTGAGCTGTCAGCACAGAGCCCGACGCGGGGTTTGAACCCATGAAGTGTGAGATCATGACCAAAGTCAGACGCTGAACTGACTTGAGCCACCCAGATGCCCCAAAACCATTGTCTTTTGAAGAGGCTTTTCTAAGCTCAGTGGAGGGAAATAATGAAAAGGAAGATGTAGAAACAAATTGATCTCTGTAAAAGATGCTCAGAGTGAAAGGAAATTTTGTCTCTGCTGTTAGTTCTCATCCCTAAGTGGAAGAGTTAGGATCCAGGGAGAGTTGGAACAGGAAAATCTCAGGACGCGGAGCCTCTGGCGGAGAGATCCAGAAGGCCAGCTTGCTGCGGTGGGATCAGGAGGAGGGTGCTAGGGGTCCAGTCATTTGCTAACTGTATGACCTTGGGCAGGTCACTCAACCTATCAGAGTTATACGTTCATCACCAGCAAAATGGCTCACCATCTCCATGCTCACCTCAAGAACTGCCAGCCTTCTGGGGGACTCTCTATGTCCCCTTGGGCAATCCAGCCAATGCTCGGGTCTTACAACAGTTTTACACCTAGATCGATCAAGTCCAAGAACTCTTTGGCCCCATCTATACCTCAGATGCCCATACCCTCTCTGCAGACTCCCAGCTTCCACTCCATCCAGCCACCTATCCTGGGCACTCCCGGCCTATTGGGAGATAACACTGTGGGACTGGTGTTTCCAGAGCGCCTCCCGGAGTCGGGTCCTTCTGCATGGCCCTCCTCCTTCTCCTTATCTCCTTTTGAAGTCATCTCTGTATTTGGGCCTCCTCCCCAGGGGTCTGCTGATAAAGCGGCTCGCAAAAACAGACAAGAACAGAAACAGGCCATTGGCTGTGCTTTCCATGACATAAATGCTCCCACCGCGCCTCCCATTTTACTGGCTGCGTTTAACACCCCCCCACGCCCCTGTACAGAATCCCTGAAAGCTTTGCAGCTAGCTTCCTCTTTCACAAGCCAATGTGTATGACCAGCAGATGAGTCCCCTCTTACTTTACAGAGTGAACAGAGGCCGGCAGGTGAGAACTCACTCAACTTCTTGGCCCGTTGAGTAGAAGTCTATCTTTACCATTTCTGCTGTGTCCCCTCTCCTCTGCTCAGTTCTTTTTTGTTTTGTGTTTTTCTTTTTTAAATAATTTACTTATTTATTTTTTTAAATTTACATCCAAGTTAGCATATAGTGCAACAGTGATTTCAGGAGTAGATTCCTTAATGTCCCTCCCCCATTTAGCCCCTACCCCTTCCCACAACCCATCCAGCAACCCTGTTTGTTCTCTATATTTAAGAGTCTCTTGTGTTTTGTCCCCCTCCCTTTTTTATATTATTTTTGCTTCCCTTCCCTTATGTTGATCTGTTTTGTATCTTAAAGTTCTCATAGGACTGAAGTCATATGATATTTGTCTTTCTCTGCCTATTTTCACTAAGCTTAATACCCTCTAGTTCCATCCATGTAATTGCAAATGGCAAGATTTCATTCTCTTTTTTTTTCTTTTACATTTTTTATTTATTTTTTGAGAGAGTGAGACAGAGCATGAGCAGGGAGGGTTAGAGAGAGAAGGAGACACAGAAACTGAAGCAGACTCCAGGCTCTGAGCAAGCATTCAGCACAGAGCCCGACGCAGGGCTTGAACCCATGAACCGTGAGATCATGACCTGAGCTGAAGTAGGACGCCCAACAACTGAGCCACCCAGGTGCCCCAATTTCATTCTTTTTGATTGCCAAGTAATACTCCGTTGTGTATATGTACCACATCGTCTTTACCCATTCATCCATCAGTGGACACGTGGGCTCTTTCCATACCTTGGCTAATGTTGATAGCACTGCTGTAAACACTGGGGTGCATGTGGCCCTTCGAAACAGCACATCTGTATCCCTTGGATAAATAGTAGTACAATTGCTGGGTCATAGGGTAGTTCTGTTTTTAATTTTTTGAGGAACCTCCATACTGTTCTCCAGAGTGACTGCACCAATTTGCATTCCCAGTCCTTTGCTCAGTTCTTTCCTTCAGGCTGTAAGTGTGGTTGTTTCTTCCATTTAAAATAGTAGAAATGACAAGAGACATTCTGTAGACCATGTGATCTGATCTCCCTTCCTTCACAGACAAGCTTCATAAAAAATGTTTTCAGGCTCTAAGTTTCCACCTTCTGACCTCTCTTGCCTTCTCATCCCATGGCATCTTGGCTTTGCTTTGCCTCCACGACTGTGAGAACAGGGCTGGGGTGGAATTTGGCAGTGGCTTTCCCATCGCTTTGTTTTTCAATCCTTATCTTGCTAGACTTCCCTGCTGCTTTAGGCCATGTGGGCCGCTTCATCCTCAGGGAAACCCCTTCCTTCTCTTTGTTTCTGGGACAGTGGCCTTCTTCCAGACTGTCTGCATTCTCCAAGGTTCCGGCCAACTCTGATGCCTCACAGGTTTCTCAGGGTCACCGACACAAAACCCAAGCTCAGAACCTTCTGGTGTGATGGCGGGTGGTGCCAGAAGGAACCAAGGAGGAACCAACATTGGGTAGAAAAATGATGCACCAAGAGCCAGACAGGTTGGACCTCAGGTATCCCACTTAACTAGCTGTGTGACATAGGACACAGCATTTTACCCCTCTGCATCAACTGGGGATAATAAATAGGTTGTTGTAAGGATCGAATGAGTTCACACACTTGTTTAGCGGACAATGTGGTACACAGTAAGTACTCATCAAATGTCCGGTATTAATAACTTGGTCACCAATGTCAGTGTGATGACTAAAATACCTCCCACTCATCCTCTCTATTCCTACTGCCTCCCCTCATCACCTCCCACATGGACGGATTCCTGCAATAACTTCCTGCCTTCAAAGACAAATCCCTCCAATCCATTCTCTGTACTTAAAAAATTCACATAGAACCATGTGACTCTTGTGTTGAAATAAACCCCAAGATACGCACTGTGGTTGGCTTATTAGGGCCTCTGGCTTTTCCATGACCTAGCGTCCTCGAGTCCACCCTCTACTTTCCAGCCACACCAGCTCCCTGAGGGTTTGCACACGGAACCATGCTGTTGTATGCCTCTCTCTTTGCCCACACCATACTCTTTGTCTGGAACCTTGGCTCCCTTCCTTACCCTATGCAGTTCAGGCAGCACATTCTTGAAGCAGCCCACCTGGGTATGGAAGTCACCATGGCCATAGAGACAAGCAAGTGATTGGGGCAGCACCCTCCCCTTCTGTCCCACATTGAGCCTTCCATTGCTTCTCTGTGACTGTTTTCAGGACCCACCTCACGGAGCCCTGTGCTTTACAGGACTCGCTGGTGTTACAGGGAATGGTGACAAGGCTTGTTTTTCCACAGCAGCTGAACCCTTCGTGCCCTCCCGTGGAGACCCACCTTGGAACACAGGGTGTGACAGACACATGGCTGTCCACGACCGTTTAGACGTCATAGAGGAGGTAATCAGGGTGACTTGGGAAAACATACAGATTCAGGACCACCTGGCAGGCTGGTAGCCTTTTTTTTTTTTTTTTTGAGAGGGAGAGACAAAATGCGAGCGAGGGAGCGGCAGAGAGTGAGGGAGACACAGAATCTGAAGCAGGCTCTAGGCTCTGAGCTGTCAGCAGAGGGCCCCATGCAGAGCTCGAAGTCATGAACTGCGAGATCATGACCTGAGCAGAAGTTGGATGCTTAACCAACTGAGCCACCCAGGCGCCCCCAGGCTGGTAGATTTATAGGGCTCAGGACAATCTTGCTTTGGAAAATCGGAAAACCTCATGCCAATCCTGCTCTGCGACCACTGTGTTAAACATCTCCCTGCCCCATCTGGGCTCTGACCAGCTCTCATAGACCTTGCTCCCCGTGGGCAGGGGGCGGGGGGAGGGCTTGTTTACATCCAGCTAGAGATCGCCACATAATTATACAATGAGATGGTGGAAATTGAGTCTCTGTGTTTTGTTATACAGCCACGGTTTGTAACTGGGGAGGCGGGTGGGGGGGAGCCTATAAACTTGTGTGGGAAAAAATTACATTTTTTTTCACAAACCTCTGACTGAAATTTAGCATTCCAATTCACTATAGACAACAAGCCATAGTAGTACTAACAGTATTGTGACTTTGTTCTCAATAGAAATCAGATAATTTCACTCCATGATAGTTGTTGTGAATATATCAAGACATCATTCATCCTTATCAGCATGTCATACAGTACTTGTTAGACCTGATGTTAGATCGTGTTATTTCATAAGTTAATAAGTACATACATTTTGACACCAAAGATTTACTTTTTAGTACTTGAATAGTATTTTAATGCACTTGGCGTCCTTGGAAATCCTATATGCTTTATTTTTTTTTCAATTAAAGTTTTTTTCTGAGAAGGGGGTCTGTAGTTCACCAGACTGCTAATGAGATTCATTCACGGAAAGGTTAGGAACCCTGGATAAAGGACATTTCAAAATCCCAAACCTATCATTCGGCAGAGTTGCCACCAGGGGGCGGGGCGACAAAATAAATGTGGGCTCCCAGTGGCGAAGTCCGGAAAGGAAAAAAGGAAAAAAAGGAGGGTTGCTCCCGGTCAAACCTGTTGTGACTGGGTGAATCGCCTAGTGCCAGAGCCAGCAGCGGCCTTAGAGAATGAAGCCCTAGGATTCTGTCTGTCATCTGGGGAATGGCGAGGCCGGCAGCGGCAGAGCCTGAACCAGAAGGACCCAGGTCCGCGGGTGCTCAGTTCTCCCCCCACTGCGCCCCACTGGGTCGCCGCGTGCCCCTTGGGATGTGGCCGATGGAGCAAGACCCGGCTCCACTCTCGTGCCCACTACTGCCCCCCTGCTCCCCCATGCCCCCTCCCATCCCTCTCGCTCTAGATGGTGGAGAAGACGGTGGAGCACCTGGAGACAGAAGTGAAAGGCTTGCTGGGTCAGCTGGAGGAGCTGGCCTGGAACCTGCCCCCGGGGTCCTTCAGCCCGCCGACCCCCGACCTCTTCGGAGACGGTGAGCAGCTCGGTAGCAGAGAGGACAGCCTCGGGCGGGGGGCGGGGGGTGGCTGCCCACTGCACAGGTGTGGCCTGGACGGCCCGGAGAGGCCTCGGGTCAGAGTGGGGAGGCAAACCCCCTCCCCCGGTCACCCCCTCCCCGCCTCGCCCCGAATATTCTCTGCCCTCGCCCGCACCTGGAGGCGCTGCAGCCTCTGCACCTGGGTCCCACCTAGTGCCACCCGGGCAGAGTGGCCGCCTCCCCAGCCATCTTCCTGCCTCAACGCCCCTGGTCTCCTTGCAGGGAAGCACTCCCGCACCACGCCAGAGCACCACCCGAGCCCTCTGCGGGGCGGCGGAGGGGCCCGAGTTCCCTGTCACAGGACTTGGGGGGGGTGCTGGGAGCGGGGCAGCTGGGGGCCGCCAGCACTCCCCAAGCTGTCCCCTCTCTTTCAGATGGCTTTGGAGCACCCGAGCCCGAGTTGCCCGGCAGCTGGAAGTGACACCCCGTGACTGCCTTCCTTCCTCAGCCTTGTGCAAAATAAAAGCTACTCCTTTGGTCCTTTCTGTGTCTGTGACAGTGACCCTGTAGCCACAGCCCCTTCTGTCTGCTCCCAGGCCCCGAGGCCCACATCGCCCTGCAGGCTCAGGCCTGGGAGACCTGGGTGGGTTGCTTCTGCCCTCCTTATTCATAGGGGCAGACAGGACAGGGGTTGGGTCAGAGGTGAGGCACGTGAGGCCCAGACCTGTAAGGGGACACAGCGGAAGGGCCCTTTGAGGAGCCTCACTACCCAGAATGTGGCCACAGATAAGCAGCAGAGGGAGCCTGTCACAAAGGCGGAATTTGGGGCCCAGCCCAGCCCTCCTGAATCAGAATCTACACTCCAGTGAGATCCCTAGGGGACAGGTGTGCAGATTTGTGTGCGATTTTAAATATTTTCTATTGAGGTAAAATTCACACAACATAAGTTTCAAATTTTTAACCATTTTAAACTGTACAAATTCAGTGACTCCACACTGTTGTACACTAACTGCAGAACATTTTCATCACCCCCAAAAGAAACCCCGTACCTACAAGCAGTCACTTTTTTTCTAATGTTTATTTTTTCTCTTTGAGAGAGAGCATGACAGAGTGTGAGGGGGAGGAGGGGCAGAGAGAGAGAGGGAGACACAGAATCCAAAGCAGGCTCCAGGCTCCGAGGTATCAGCATGGAGCCTGACGCAAGGCTTGAACCAACGAACCGCGAGATCATGACCTAGGCTGAAGTTGGATGCTTAACCGACTGAGCTACCCAGGCGCCCCCCAAGAAGTCACTTTCTACTCTCCCTCCCACCTTCCCCCAGAAGCCACTAGTATTTCTGTCTCTATGGACATTTTATATAAACAGAATCATTATATGCGGCCTTTGTGTCAAACTTTTTTTTTTTTTTACCACTGAGCATAATGCTTTCAAGTGTCGTCCGTATCGTAGCATGTGTGAGTACTTGATTCCCGTGTAGCTGAATAATAGTCTGTCATATAGATGTGCCACATTTAACTCATGCATCATTTGATGGACATTTGGGTTGTCTGTACGTTTTGGCTATTATGAATCACACTAAGAATATTTATGTGTAAGTTTTTGTATAAACATGTGTTAATTTCTCTTGGAATTGCTGACTCAAAGAGTGACTCTATTCTGAAGTTTCTTGAGGATCATGAAGCTGTTTTTTCACAGCGGCTATACCATTTTACATTCCCCTCAGCAACGTGTATGGAGGGGTTTCAATTTTTCAACATCTTCACTGTGTGTCTTTTTAATTATAGCCTTCCTATTAGGTATGAAGTGGTAACTCATTGTGGTTTTAGGTTGCGTTTGCCTAATGATGATGATGATGACCATCTTTTTTGGTGTGTTTCTTGGCCATTTGTCTCTGGAGAACGATCTATTCAAGTCCTTTGCTCATTTAAGAGTTTTTTGTCTTTTTGTTATTGGGTGGTAAGAGTTCTTTGTGTATTGTGGATACTAGGCTTTTTCAGATATATGACTTACAAATATTTTCTCCCAATCTGTGGGCTTTTACCTTCTTAGGTGTCCTTTGAATTACAACAGTTTTAATTTTGATGAAGTCCAATTTTTTGTTGTTTTTTTTGCTGTCAGCAAGAATCCACTGCCAAATCCAAGGTCATAATTTATTCCTGTTTGCTTCTAAGATTTTTATAGTGTATGCTGTTACATTTAGTTCTTGGATCTGTTTTGGATTGCTTTTTGAATATGGTGTGAGGTAGGGATCCAACTTAAGTCTTTTGCTTGTGGATGTTCAGTTGCCCCTGCATTATTTGTTAAAGAGAATATTTCTTCCCTATCAAATAGTTCTGGCATCCTTGTCAAAAATCAATTAAAGATAGATGTTTAGTTTCTCAATTCTATCCCATTTATACGCCTATCTTTATGTGGGCATCACACCGTCTGAATTCCTGTAGCTTTGAAGTAAGTTTTGAAATTAAGAAGTGTGAGATCCCGGACTATGTTGTTCTTTTCCAAGGCCGTTTTTGGTTATTTGTGGACCGGTTCTTTGCAATTCCATATACATTTTAGGATCAGCTTGTCCATGTCTTCAAAAAGGCAGCTGGAATTTTTATAGGGATTAGATTGAATCTGCAGCTCAGTTTACAGAGTATTTGCCTTGTCAATACTAAGTCTTCCAATCTATGAGCACAGGGCGTTTTGTGTTTTTGTGTGTGTTTTCAGTGTACAAGTCTTACACCAACAAATTTATCCTTAAATATTTTGGTTGTTGATATTACTATAAATGGAGTCTTATTTTCAGATGGTTCACTGCTAGTATATAGAAACACAACTGAGTTTTGTTTTTTGATCGTGTATCCTATTTCGTGCAACTCTGCTAAATTCATTTATTAGCTCTAAAGCTTTTGTGTGGATAGGATTTATAATTTTCTATAAAAGATCATGTCATCTGTGAATAGAAAGTTTTACTTATTTCCAATTTGGATGCTTTTTCTTGCCTAATTGTCCTGACTAGAACTTCCAATACTATGTTGACTAGTAGTTGCAAGAGCAAACATTTTTGTCTTATTTCTGATCTTAGGGGAAAGATCTTCTTTCACTATGAAGTATGTCAGCTGTGGCTTTTCACAGATACTCTTTATATCAGGTTGGTAAAATATTCCTTTTCTTACATTTTTGTTTTAAATCATCCAAAAGCAGTGTTTTTTTTTTTTTTTTTCAAATGCTTTTTCTGCATCGGTTGGGATGATTGTGTGGTTTTTATCCCCCTTTATCCGATTAACCATGTATATTACATGGATTGATTTTTGTATATTGAATGATTCTTATATTCCTTTGATAAATCTCACTTGGGAGTGGTGGCTAATCCTTTAAATACACTGCTGGATTCGGTTTGCTGCTATTTCATTGTGGAGTTTTGCACCTCCCCTGTGATCTCTGTCTGGCTTTGGTATCAGGGTAACATTGGTCTCATCAGAGTCAGGAAGTGTTCCCTCCTCTATGTTTTGAGAAGTTTGTGCAGGATTGGTGTTACTTCTTTATTATTTATTTACTTTTTTACAAATAGTTTAGTGTCAAGTTGGTTTCCATATAACACCCAGTGCTCATCCCCACAAGTGCCCCTCTCTGTGCCCATCCCCCCCCACATCCATCAGTCCTCAGTTTTTGTCAGCATTCAAGAGTCTCTCATGCTTTGCCACTCCCCCTTTCCCCCACTATTTCCTCCCTTCTTCTCCCCCACTGTCCTCCATTAAGTTCCTCCTAATCCTCCTATACGTGCAAACATATGATATTTGTCCTTCTCTGCCTGACTTATTTCGCTCAGCATAACACCCTCAAGGTCCATCCATGTTGCTACACATGGCCAGATTTCATTCTATCTCATTGCCATGTAGTATTCCATGGTATAGATAAACCACATCTTCTTGATCCATTCGTCCGTTGATGGACACTTAGGCTCTTTCCATGTTTTGGCTATTGTGGAGAGTGCTGCTATGAACATTGGGGTACATGTGCTCCTATGCCTCAGCATTTCCATATCCCTTGGGTAAATTCCTAGCAGTGCTATTGCTGAGTCATAGGGGAGTTCTACTGTTAATTTTTTGAGGAACCTCCACACTGTTTTCCAGAGGGGCTGTACCAGTTTACATTCCCACCAACAGTGTAGGAGGGTGATCGTGTCTCCACATCCTCGCCAGCATCTCGTGTTCTCTGATTTGCTCAGTTTAGCCACTCTGACTGGTGTGAGGTGGTATCTCAGTGTCATTTTGATTTGTATTTCCCTGATGAGGAGGGATGCTGAGCATCATTTCATGTGTCTGTTGGCCATCTGGATGTCCTCTTTGGAGAAGTGTCTGTTCATATCTTCTGCCCATTTCTTTACTGGGTTGTTTGTTTTTCGGGTGTGGAGTTTGGTGAGTTCCTTATAGATTCTGGATATCAACCCTTTATCTGATATGTCATTTGCAACTATCTTTTCCCATTCCGTTGGTTGCCTATTAGGTTTGTGGGTTGTTTCCTTTGCCGTGCAGAAGCTTTTAATCTTGATGAGGTCCCAATCCTTTATTTTTGCTCTTGATTCCCTTGCTTTCAGGGATGTGTCAAGTAAGAGGCTGCTGCGGTGGAGGTCAAGGAGGTTGTTTCCTGTTTTCTCCTCTAGGGTTTTGATGGTTTCCTGTCTCACATTCAGGTCCTTTATCCATTTTGAGTTTATTTTTGTGTATGGTGTGAGAAATTGATCTAGTTTCATTCTTCTGCATGTTGCTGTCCAGTTCTCCCAACACCATCTGTTAAAGAGGCTGTCTTTTTTCCATTGGATATTCTTTCCTGCTTTGTCAAATATTAGTTGGCTGTATACTTTTGGGTCCACTTCTGAGTTCTCAATTCTGTTCCATTGGTCTATGGGTCTGTTTTTGTGCCAATACCATACTGTCTTGATGATGACAGTTTTGTAGTAGAGGCTAAAGTCTGGGATTGTGATACCTCCCGTTTTGGTTTTTTCAGTATTACTTTGGCTATTCGGGGTCTTTTGTGGTTCCATACAGATTTTAGGATAGTTTGCTCTAGCTTTGAGAAGTATGCTGGTGCAATTTTGATTGGAATTGCATTGAATGTGTAGATTGCTTTGGGTAGTAATGCCATTTTAACTATATTTATTCTTCCTATCCATGAGCATGGGATGTTTTTCCATTTATTTGTCTCTTCAATTTTCTTCATAAGTTTTCTATAGTTTTCATCATACAGATCTCTTGTATCCTTGGTTAGGTTTATTCCTAGGTATTTTATGGTTTTTTGTGCAATTTGGTGTTACTTCTTTAAATATTTGATTGAATTAATCAGTGAAGCCTCCTGGTCCTGGCTTTTTCTTTGTTAAGAGGTGTTCTATTACCGATTTAATCTATTATAGGTCTATTCAGATTTTCTATTTCTTCTTGAGTCGCATTTGAGAATTGTGTATTTATAAGAATTTTCCCGTTTTATGTAAGCTAGCTAATATGTTGACATGCAACTATGAATGGTATTTTCTTATGACTTTATAATAAATTAAAAAT